CCTCTGTTCCTCCTACTGTTTCCGACACTCCCACTTCAGCACTCCATCACAACAATGCTTCATACCATTTACAGCTTTACATAAGAGAAAAGTGTAAGCATTTTTAATGAACAATGGCATCCTTATTTTCCTCCTTGGCATCTAAATTTTATATTTCCTCGATGAAGCCATTTTTAAGTCCAAAAAGGACCGGACTGAGAAGTATTACAAGTGCAACAGTTCCACCAGGGCTGGTGGAACTGTGTGTGTGAAAAGCATGGGGGAGGAGTTCTGTATGGGGCGGGAGGTCGGCTGCAGGCTGAGCTCCAGGGAGGAGCTTTGGGTAAATAGGCGGAGCTTTGTACCTGCAAGTATTTAGGCMGCTCCGAATGACTACCACCAGAGGTTCAAGGATTTCTCAGACATGCATGAAAGAGTCAAAGCAACACACTGAGTGTTTTTGATCACATTATGATATGAAGCTCAAAAAAATCTTATTTTGCATAATACCCCCTTTAAAGGTATAAGATCCCATAATTAATTAGCTTGTTACTAGTCAAACAAGCAAATGAATGAATGTAATTAATGTGTTTTCATAAAGCAGGCTTAGGAAMATGCATTTGGATGCTTTAGTCCAGACTACAAGCTGTGATCTTTACATGTTCTGTCCTGTGTTTTGCAGGGAATGTATTTCTAAAGCACGGCTCAGAGCTTCGCCTCATTCCCAGAGACAGAGTGGGAGGACAAGGAGACTGACTTATGCTGCTTTTTTTTCTCTTTTCTTTTTTTCTTCCCCCTCGTTGATGGCATAATGATTCACGCGGCAGAATCACACAACACTCAACGACCCAGGAAACACCTCTCAGCATGTGTCGAGCTTATTTTCTGGCCCACAAACGACAGTGACTCACACGGGAAYACACAAGTTCAAACCTATTGGTGACACATTCGAAACGCTTCCTGCATCTTCATTAAGTTCAAAAGTTGGGAGCGACATTAGGCGAGATATCCAGAGAATAATAATTAGAATCAAACATTTGTGGATTTACTAGGATTAACAGCTTTTTGTGYCGTCACATCTCAGTAAACAGATAGTCGAACAAACAGAAAATCCCTATCTTTCTTTTAGTTTTTTTAAATTGCATTGTAAACATTACAGCAAAATGAGGTGACCTTTTCTATTTAATATGTTTTTAAATACCCCTGATGCTTCATGGTTACTGAGGCAGGTAATTATTAGTTTAAGATTGCACCCATGACTACTCACTCTATAGTTAACCTTGGTTTTTTTGGACCAGATGTTTTTCCTTTTATAGAAAACCTTCAGATATAAATAATCCACTAGTATAATAATTCAGTTTATGGCTCTTTGCTGCCCTCTGTCGGCTCATATTTAAAGTTATTCATTGTTYGTCCTAACAGATTATAGACTGAGTGGGAGGAATGTTTTGATGTTTGCTAAAATAATGAAGTTAAGCAGGAGTGATATCTAACAAAAATTTAACARATGTGTCACAACAGCTGAAGCATCCCTGAATGTTCATAAAAAATAAATCATTGTAATCTGGGAAATAAATGTTAATGTTTGCAGTCACTCATCCTGTTTTTGTTATTCAAAGCAAAAAATGAGTAAACCAGAAAAGCTCTGTTTTAATGCTTTTCTAGTAAAACTGAAGAAACAGTTCATCTTCACTTTTATTAATTTATTATTATTAATTTTTTTTTGAGTTGTTGAGATTTTCCATGTCTGTTTTTATTTTAAGAATCATGAATCATCCAGCTGTCATTGGTCAAAACGCAGGCTACAACCTGGACAAGCCNGATTTTCCATGTCTGTTTTTCTTTTAAGAATCATGAATCATCCAGCTGTCATTGGTCAAAACGCAGGCTACAACCTGGACAAGCCACCTGTCCATCACAAGGCYGATCTGAACCATGTCTTTATTAAAGTTAGAAAAAATAAGAAGTCTGGAYAGGTTGTGTTATAAATGTGTTGCTGTATAACTCCAGAGGAATCTCAGAGTTCCTTCTGTCTACCATCAGGCTTTAAATCGGATGGATGGAAGAGGCATTGCAAACGGATTTTCTCATTTATTTTAATCAAATTCGCCGTAGGGCAAATTTATCTAATTTATATTTTAGCCACAGATTGTCCTGATGGCAGCAGAGGTTATCTATCGCAGTGGTTTGTCTCAAATTGTCCTAATTACTGCAGATTTCTGCAAAAACAATTGTGTGTAATTTAAAATCTATTAAATACTACTGTAGTAAAACAAAACAGACTATAGCTGAAGAGTTTTCCTCAGGCTGCCATAAATATGCCGGCAATATGATTTTGCATTRTTTTTTGTCTTCAGTATTTGCAGTATCACCTACTGCCTTTAATGCCTGAATTCTAAGACCAATATATTCTGATAGTTGAAATTAAAGCTGCTTTGTTCAAATCATGTAGGCTTGAATCATGTTCTGTACAATGTCATGTGATATTGCAAGATTAAATCAATTGTTTGAAATGTGTTGAATGTAGACAATAGAATAACATCAAATTGGTGGAATAAACTGATGCATAGTTTTCTTTTTTCGACAAAATAGCCCAAAAAAGGCTTTAAAAACTTTGTCTTTGATGATAAATGAGTTTGCCTTTAAGTGTTAGGGCACCTGTTAACATATCTAACTCTTGGTAAAACAAATAGGCAGACTTTTAGAAAAGGTTTAACACTTAAGCCGCAGTATGTCTTTAAAATGTGCAAAATAGGAGGGACAAAATAGCAGCTGACAGATGAAAGCTGTCAACCTTTTTTTGCTGATTATCTCTGCAAGTTGTTACAAAACCCACAAAGATTATTTTTATCTATTTTTTTTATTTTGTAAGAAAAAAATGTTTGAGATTTCCAGCAGTTTTTTTACTTCGTCAGCTTGTAAGAGAAACATTACAATAAGAGAAACAGGGAACTGGATGCTGACGTGTGGGATGGCAGCAGTATTGACTGATCACAGTGATTCTGAGAATAAAGTCCACTTTCCCTTTAAATGGCTCCTCCCATGGCCTCCTTTGAGCKTTTCTCCTCGTTCTGTGGCCCCCACTGGTTTATAAATGTCATGTTGAGCRTGCACTTTGGCCTCCTCCATTAGTGGCAGCCAATCTAAAATGAGATCTGCTGATCCTTAACAGGCTCAGCGATAAAACCCGCCACTCTAGCTACAGGWCAGCGAGCCAGATAAAGAAAGCTCACGCAGAGGTGGAAACAACCTTCCACTGACAACCTCTGCAGCTAATTTTCACTTTATTCTCAYGCAAGAATATACGTAACACACAGATACACACATAAAGACATATACTGTAACTTGGCACAAAAGAAAATTTGTATGTGGTAGATTTTTTTTTTTTTACTGTAACAAGTCTTCTTGGCAATAACTCCCACAAATGCATGTTCCT